GAATTCGATCCCCAGGATCCACATGGTAGAAAGAGCGAACTGACACCCACACGTTTTCTTCTGCCTCCATGTGTGCACCATGGCGTGTGCACATCCATCCACACACACAGACGCATAATAATAAATAAATGAATAATAACAAATTTTAATGGCACATACCTGTAATCTCAGCACTTAGGAGGCAGAGGCAGGAGAATCTCTGTAACTTCAAGGCTAGCCTGGTCTACATAATGAGTTCCAAGCCAGAAAGGGCTACATGATGAGACTTTTGAAACAACAAAAATGTCTATTAGAATGTCCATCAGATAGTAAAAACTTGTGTGTGAAAGCCTGCTGATAATATTCTATCTGTAGCTCTCACCCTACAACACACTTACTAATTACAGAAGAGAAAATAGTAGTGGAGAAACCTGGCAAACAGGATCCCAAGAAAAGATCAAAGTTAACTTCACCATGAATGGGAAAACCCCAACCCCACATGTTCCCCACGTGAATACAACAGGTACATAGTGTTACTTAGAGATTTCCCTGCCAACTTCCAGCTGACAATGAGGAAACAGAAACCCAAAGGGAGTGATTTTTTTGCAAAGCAGCAGGCTCTTGCCTGCTTGCAGAGGACAGAAGAGGATGTCAGTTCCTTGGAACTACAGTTATAGATGGTTGTTAACTGCTATGTGGGTGCTGGGAACCAAACTTGGGTCTTCTGCAAGAACAGCAAATATTCTTAATTGCTGTCCAGTCCCTGTTTGCTTGTTTTGAGACAGGGTCTCTCTATGTAGTCCTGGCTGGCCTAGAGCTCACAAAGATCCACCTGCCCCTATCTCCCAAGTGCTGATATTAAAGGCTTGTGTCACCACACCTTGCTATAAAGATGCAGTTTTTAAATTTTAGGTTGTTTTAAATTAAGACAGGGCCTTGTGTAGCTCAGCCTGACCTAGAACTTCTGTGTAGTAGAGGATGACCTTGAATTCCTGATCCTCTTGCTTCCACTTTCTGAGTGCTAGAATCACAGGTGTGTGTCACCACAACCAGCTTAGAAACAATGTTCTTATAAGACTCATGGCAAACTACACTGAGGACTGGGATGTGGCTCAGTTGGGACAGTGCTTGCCTAGCATGTGTGAAGTCCCAGCTTGGATCTCCAGCACCATATATACTGGGCATGGTGGTGCAAGGGATATATGAGACCCTATCAAAAAGAAAAGAAGGAGAGGAGAAAGAAAGGAGGAAGGAAGGAAGGAAGGAAGAGAGGGAGGGAGGGAGGGAGAGAGGGAAACTAGGTTGAGATGTCCTTTCCCCACGTCAGGTTAATAGAAAACCAAGGTTACCTGCTGTACTGTGTTGACAAGTCTGTGGAAAAACAGATAGTCTGGTACTTGACACTTTGTTCTTGGTGGGGCCACACTGATAGCTCTCCTGAAGTTCTAACTATCAAAATAATTTGTATGCTTCACCTGACAATCCTTTTCTGGAATTCAAGTAGAACATTAAATTCACTTTGTAGCCTAGGTCACCCTTGAACTTATGAGCCTCCTGCCTCAGCCTTTCAAGTAGTTGGGATCACTGGCACATCAATCAGGCCTGGCTCCTCACTGGCTTTATTGTCTGTTTTTGTTTTTCAAGATGGGGTCTTGCTGTGTAGCTCTGACTGGCCTTGAACTTACAGTGATCCCCCAACCTTTGCCTCCCAAAGTGCTGGAATTTACAGGCTTGTGCCACCATATCTGGCTTTCCTTGTTGACCCTTAGTGTGTTTCTGTGGTATCTGTCATAAAGCATAACTTTTTCAGTGGTATAGAGACCTTGGTCTCTCTTTTTAGACTTTGTATCAAATCAATCCCCTTTCTACTTTCATAAATCAACTCCTGGCTGGCTAGAGAGCTGGCTCAGCATTAAAAGCACCTGCTACTTACTCTTTCAGAACACCCAGGTATGGTTGCCAGCACCCATGTGGCAGCCAATCACAATCTGTAACTCTAGTTCCAGGCGATCTGATACCATTCACAGGCACCAGTCATGCACACAGTACATATACATGCATGCAGGCAAAACACTCATACAACAAAAATAAATCTTTATTGATTTGTTTGTTTGTTTTTTGAGACAGGGTTTCCCTGTAGTTCCAGATGACCTGGTACTCACTCAGTAGACTAGGCTGGCCTTGAACTCACTGAGCTCCACCTGTCTCTGCCTCCTGAGTGCTGGGATGGAAGGTGTGCGCCACCATGCCCGGCCAAAAATAAATAGATCTTTAAAAAAAAAAAAATGCTCCAGGCTGGGCGTGGTGGCACACACCTTCCATCCCAGCACTCAGGAGGCAGAGGCAGGTGGATCTCAGTGAGTTCAACAAGGCCAGCCTGGTCGTGTCTCAAAAAGACCTAAAAAAAGCTCTATTCCCTTCCCACTCTTGGAATTCATTCCAGTCATTCCCTCTTTGCATATCTAGAAGACTCTTCATTCATCACCTGGAGGTAGGACCCCTGTGACCTCAGCCCATAGTTTCCCACTAAAATGACTTCTGGTCACCAATGTAAGACAGCCATCCAGCTGTTTTCTCATTACACCACTCTAGCCCCCAAGCAGACAGCCACTGTATCTGTGGCCTGTCTTTCTCCTTACAAAACATGCACACCTGGAAGCAGGGCCCCCAGCCAATGCCATTTTGTGACAGGTTCCCAGGGTTTGAGTTTCAGGCATCTCTGAGAGGCTTTCTGGAAGTTTGGAGCACAAATGACAGTCTCCCTTGGGCAAGCAGGAAGTGACTAGAATGAGTCCCTTACAAAGATCTAATGGGGACAGATAGACCCAAGATCCAACAACAATAATGAGGTGAGTCTTGCTTCTAAGAGTGCATGCAGAATTCATAGATGGCTGAGACAGAAATTTTTATAAGGCATACAGGCAGGAGAGAAGGTCAAGGAGGTAGCATTGGGTCTGTAAGCCCTAGGATGCAGTCCTCTGGGTGCCTGACAGAGTTCTCTCTTGCAGCTGAAGGACATATAGCAGGACAGACTCCAGTGTGTCCTTGTGTCATTTCTGCAACTCTGAGGATAAACAGTGTGCCATGCGTGTATGTGGGCTGGCACTCAGGAAATCTCAGCCTCTCTCCTCCCTCAATCTGGGGCTCCCTCTTGCTTCTCGATGCCAAGTCCTACTGCTGCGGGGTGGGGGGAGCGCAAACACACCATCCTGTTATCACTGCCTGGTCACAAGACAGTTGCAGGCTGGGCTGAAGAAGAGATACTGATGATGGTCAGTCTTGATGATAACAAGCTGCCAGCTCAAGGAAAATAGTCCCTGGACTGGTTCCAAGGTGACTGATTCTGTCCCGCACTACTGGCCAAATGGTCCTAGTATCCAGGCTCCAGATAGGTACAAGGCTTAGACATTCAGAACAAGGCCCTGCTGAGGCTTACCAAAGGGTAGGGGGCTCACTCCAGTAACCGAGCTTAAGCTTCAACTCAGCCCCCACTGGGCAGACTACTTGTTCAGAACTATTTGGAGCTCAAGAGCCGATCCAGGGGACAAACCTCACTCCAGCAGTGGAGGAGCCATAAAGTCCAGTTAATGATCAGTCTCCAGGGCAGGAAAGGGTTCCATGTCCTAGGGCCTTCAGCTTCAGGCATTGCTTAGACACCTGGCCTACTCTTCTGCAACCAGCAGGAAGATCTGGACAGATAAACAAGAAAGGAGGCCTGGGGGTTCCAGAAGTCATCTACCTGTGAAGGTCTTTGGAGGACAAACACTCCCAGGGTGTCACAGGATTCAGGTACAGATTGCTGCTGAGGCCACACAATGGGGAGCAAGACAAGGTCAGGGGTCTCCTGTAAGCGGTCTCTGTAGCACCTTCCTCCTTGGCTGATGTGCTTCCAAGACCCAGCAGTTGCCTTCGTCCTTCTCTTTCTCCTCCCCTTTTACTTCTTTTTCCTCCTCTTTCCCCTCTTCCTCCTCCTCCCCTTCCTCTTCTTCCTCTCTCTCCCTTTCTTCCTCCTCCTTCTCTTCCTCCTCTTCCTACTCCCCCCCTTTCTTCATCTTTCTCCTTTTCTTCCTCCTGTTTTTTCTCCTCTTGCTCTTCCTCTTCTACCTCCTCTCTTTCTCCTCTTTGGCCGCCTCACACATTCACCACAGTATTGACCTCTATCTTCTCTAAACTTCTACTGAGACACATAGGCTAGGAGCTCCCATGTCTGTGTCCACCTTGGACCCTTCCTCTGGGGCCTCACACAGGTGCTGGCCAACAGCTCTGTATTTTCTCCTGCTCAGATCTACTCCGTACTTTCTTTACCGACAGCAGCACCACTCTGGGCTCTGAGGGCAATAAAAGGTTCTATTTTGGCTGGAGTGGGATGTGGGAAGAGTCTAAATTAGCTCAGACCCTTAGAGGCTGATAAAAAGAGGGTAGGGAGAGTACTGCAAAGGAGAAAGGGAAGCCTAGACTTTGAAAACACTGAGGCTATAGTCAAAAGATTCAGACTGTGATTTTGTGACAGGAAGTGGGTGACACCTGGGTTGGTAACGTTGGAAGAACTGGCGGCCTTTGGAAGTTGGGGGACACACGAGTTCCTGTTCTCTACAGCTGGCCTGGAGGTTGGAAGCCTATGTTCTAGGGCTGGTCCCATCATCGGCTCTGCTGAGCTTCTTTGGGTCTCTTTCACTTCATCTGTGTAACAGGACAGGGATGGTGGAAATGGATGTGGATCTGAGCAGCTGGGCTGAAAGCAGGATTTTTATCAGACCTGATGTTTGGCCTTATTTAGGCCTGTACTTTTCTATTTTATTTTATTTATTTGATTTGATTTGATTTCATTTCATTTTTCAGTGCTGGGGATTGAACCCAGTGCCTTACACATGTTAGATAAGCAAGCTTGTAGCCATGTAGTCACTGAGCTATTCCCCCAGGCCAGGCCTGCACTGTTAATCCACCCCTCCCATCCCTATGGGGGCCCGGCTGGTGCTCACGTGCAATAATTAACAACTGAGTGGCCTTCGCCCAATCTCTGCTCCATTCCTGGGCGCCGTTCCCACTCCCTGCACCACAGCCTGTCTCCTAGGCCACTAAACCTTGGCTGTCCCTTGCAATAAAAAAAGCAAGGTGAGGATAGAGAAGAGCCGAAGCCTGAGCCAGTCTGAGAGCTGCCACCTTCTCCAGGTATGCCACCTGACACCCCTCATTAGAGACTACAGACCCTATGGTACCCCCAGCATGTAGTAAAGATTTGCTGAAGTGGAAAGTCCTGTGTGCTTGAAGCTCAGAGAATCCAGGGGTGGAGACTGAGGCCAGATCAGAGCATGACCAGCAAGGTTAAAAACTACAAGTTAGTGTAGTGAAGGGCTTCTTGCCCTTCAGTCCAGCACTAAGTTCTCAGCTCTTTTAGTCTGGGGCCCCTCTGGGTGAGTGTATGAGGTGGTTGGTGGGGAGGGGTCACAGGTGGACCACGGTCTGAAGGAATGACTAGGAAATGAGAAAGGAGCTTGCAGGATGCAGCTCATAGGGAGGGCTACCTCAAAAAGAGACCGCGGACTAGAAGGTACCCACGGGAGGGAGAGTGTGGGGAAAGGGGGAGACTCAGCATGGACCTGGACTCGGGGGTCTAGGGTCAGACTTGGATCATCCCTGCTGTGTGACTTGGAACACGCCCCTCAATCCAGGCCCTGTTGGTTGCACATAGATTAAATTGGCTGTTATTGGTGGTGTTTTTCCTTCTACTGTTACTCTTCAGGTGAAGAAATGTCCTGAAGATAATTTGTGTCTATTTTCTGCATGGTCAAGCAGGGAGTGTAGTGAGGGGTGAGCTGGGCTGGCCCAGGCTCCCTGTGCTCCAAGCAGCCAGGTTGTTTTCCCCCAGGAACTGGCGCCAAAGAATCATCTGGTGCTTCAATAGGACTGATTTTCCTGGCTGGAACTTAGAAATTAGTTAGCGGGTTAACAGAAGCATGAGTGGGCTCTGGAATGAATGAACTAGTGTGAGAATTAATGAATAAACATTGAGTTAAGTAGAAGAATATTTCAGGTTGGGCCTGGTGGTGTAAGCCTGTAATTTCAGCTACTCTGGAGACTGAGGCAGGAAAATCAAAAGTTCAAGTCCTGGGCTAGTCTGGGTAATTTAGTGAGATCCTGTCTCAAAAAAGGGAAAAGAAGCTGGGCATAGTGGCCCTTTAATCCCAGCACCAGGGAGGCAGAAGCAGGCAGAGTTCCAGACCAGCTGGGGCTACAGGGAAATCCTGTTTCAAAAAAACAAAAGAAAAAAAAACAAATAAAAATAAAAAAAAAAAAAGAGGGAAAGAAGGTTGGTCATATATGGTGAGATAGCTTAGTTGCCTAGCAAGGCCCTAGCTAGGTTCAATAGTTCAATACTCAGTGCTACGGGCCGGGGGCAGTCAGGGGGGAGAAGGGATGTAGAGTAAAGGATTGTGGAACTGAGAAAGCTATGTGAGCATTCAAGTCCAGACTTAATCTAGTCCTGCTGTGCAGTCAGCCTGGAGTCTCTGCCCGTAGCTCAGAGCCTGTTGACAGTACTGTCAGGAAACTCAAGTTTTCTGGTTGTTGCTTCTTACTTTTTTTTCTTTCTTGATGTCTTTGAGTGAGGGTCTCATGCATCCCAGGCTGGCCTCAAATTTGATATGTAAGTGAAGATGACTTTAAATTTCTGATCCTCCTGTCTCTACCTCTTGACTCCTGTGATTAGAAGCATGTACCACCGAGCCCAGTTTACGCAATGCTGAGGTTGATTCCAGGGCTTTCTTGCATGCGAGGCAAACACTCTACTAATCTGCATATGCAGCCTGAGGACAACCGCGTTCTAAAGAAGCAGAGACCAGCTGGGTGTGGTGGCACACGCCTGTAGTCCTAGCACTTGGGAGGCAGAGGCAGGAGGATCAAGGCCAGCCTGGTCTACATAGTGAGTTCCAGGACAGCTGGGGCTACAGGGAGACGTTCCCCGCCCCTCAAAAAAAAGAAGCAGAGACAAGATAAGCCTGTGAGCAGGGAAACTTTATCAACATTTTTTTTTTTTTTCTGAGACAGGGTCTCACTATGTAGCCCTGGTTAGCTTCAGACTCACAAAAGTCCACCTGCCTCTGCTGGGATTAAAGGCATGTACCACCATGCTTAGCCATCAACTCTTGTAAGAAACTTGGGCTCCAGGGACAGACATGGAGAGGATTTTTGAGAAATGATTTTGAAACATTTTAGCAATTTGAAGCATTTTGGGAGACAGACAGGTGGATTTCTGAATTTGAGGTCAACCAGGTCTATATATTGAGTTCCAGGTCAGCCAGGGAATGAAGACTCTGTTAAAAAAAAAAAAAAGGCGAGGGGGGGGTGGAGAGGGAGAGGGCTGGAGAGATGGCTCAGGGGTTAAGAGCACTGACTGCTCTTAAAGAGGACTGGGGTTCAGTTCCTAGCACCTACATGGCCACTAACAACAGTCTATAACTGCAGTCCAGGGAAATCCAACCCCCTCTTCTGACCTCTGAAGGCACTGCATAACATGGGTACACTTATACACTCATACACATGAAATAAATAAATAAATTTTTTGGTCCTTTTTTTTGGAGACAGGGTCTCCCTGTAGACCCTGCTGACTTGGGACTTACTATGTAGACCAACCAGCCTGGCCTTGAACTCACAGAGATCTCCCTGCTTCTGCCTCCAAGTGCTTGGATTAAAAGCATGCACCACCAAGCCCAGCTCAACTTTTAATTTATTTTTCTAGTGTAACTTTTACCCAGATGAAGTACTGGTACAAGAAAATCATATTACCTTAGTTTGTATCACCTTTTACTTTTATTTTTATTTTTTGGTCTTTTGGAGACAGGGTCTCCCTGTAGCCCCAGCTGTCCTGGAACTCATGTAGACCAGGCTGGCCTTGAACCCACAGAGATCCTCCTGCCTCTGCCTCCCAAATGCTGGGACTACAGATATGTGCCACCACACCCGGCTTTTTTAACCATACTTTATGTATAGAAATACAACTTACATATTAAATAACTCTCTAACAGAATGATTTAATAAAAGTTTAAATAGAACTGAAAAAAATTTTTTTCTAAATAGGTCAATGTTACAAATGTATAGTGATTAGTCATGTCTAATTTCTATTGTACTAATAGTAAATGGAATTAAAAAAGAAAGCTCAACTATTACAGTCTCTGCCTCAAAGAAATAACACGTTGGATTCAGAAATGGTTCTCGCTACTTTAGTCCAGGGAAAGTTGAATTCATGTATCCACCACAGTGGGATGGGAAGAGGAAAAAACTATGATGAAGTTGAAACTAGAGAAAAAATTAGCTTTATATATCCCCCTCCATGATTCATGTGTCCTTTTGCCTACACTCTGCCCTTTCTCATCACCTAATATTACACTCTTGGTCCTTGTCCAAATTTTCAGACCTACGCTTAACACCTGATTCACCTTTTTTTTTAAATTAAAATATTTTATTTATTATTTTTATTTTATGTATTGCCTGCGTGTATGTGAGCACACCCGTGTTGTGAAATGCCATGGAGGTCAGAAGAGGGCTTTGGATTCCTCTGGAACTGGAGTTAAGGACAGTTCGTAGACACCATGTGGGTGCTGGGAATCGCACCTGGGTCCTCTGCAAGAGCAGTCAGTGCTTTTACCCACTGAGCCGTCTCTCCAGCCCTGATTCACCTTTTATAAAATCTTTAAAAATTTGGGACTGGAGAGATGGCTCAGCGGTTAAGAGCACTGCCTGTTCTTGCAGAAGACTGGGGTTCAAATCCCAGCACCCACATGGCAGCTAACAGCTGTCTGTAACTCCAATTCCAGATGATCCAACAGCCTCTTCTGTCCTCCAAGGGCATTGCACAACACTGGTGCACTTACATACATGCAGGCATAACACTCATACACATAAAATAAAAACAATAAATACCAAAAAAAATTTCAGCTCTGAAACATTTGCCTCCAAGGATTTTCAATAAGGGATTATGGGTATATGGAAAACTCATCTATTTTTACAAGTTGCTCAAATTGGTTTTCAATTGCATTGCTCCAGGACTACCTGGAGAAGTCAAAAAGGCTCACCAAGCCAGTGACTGTCCCCAGGGTGTCTGATCCTCACTGAGTCTGGGAAGACTGAGGGGAGGAGGTGACACTTGATCCACTAGTAGAGGCTCCACCCACTGGAGCTGAGCCCACATCTTGAGGTACTACCTCCGCCATTTCTTGGTGCCACTGACCATAGCTCTCTCTTCAAGGATCTGACATGGCTCACCTGATGACAACACAGCTGCTGCTCCTGGTGTGGGCGGCCGCATGGGGTGTCCAGCCCAGGACTACTCGGGCCAGGACTGAACTTCTCAATGTTTGCATGGATGCCAAACATCACAAGGAAAAGCCAGGCCCTGAGGATAATTTACATGAACAGGTGGGCTGAGTGGTGACGAGCCTGACTGAGGAGGAGTGGGTCAGGCAATGGAAGTGTCTATCCCCAGTCTGTGGTAGAGGCAACAGACCTGCCTGAGGAAAACTTCAGTTCTCTCTAGCATGGGCAACTGTTTTACACATATTGTTTACCAATTGTCAGTGTAATGCCAAAATCTCACTTTCTTGGTAGCTGGGTTTCTACATTGCACAAATAAGGAAGTATGCTTAGGAAGGAGTTTGGGGAATGAACAAGTGAGACCATTTTGGGGGTTTCAGCTTCAGATTGAAGGTCTCCTCTAGGGATCGGAGGAGAGAAGTTGCCTGCTGTACTTAGTGGCTCCTTTCTGCCAGTCCTCCACCTCTTGAGAAAGGTGACTCTCTCCTAGCAGTGGGACTGGCTGCTAAGTATTTGGAACCAGGCATCTGGCAAACACTTGGACTGTGGCTTTCCACCATGTAGGGCCAGAGGTCTCTCTTCTATAACAATTGTTTTGCCACAATCCATTTAATATCCCGAACCTAGCTAAGCATTTAGTAAAATCAATATGATGCAGCAAGTGAAAAGAAGAAACAAAACAAAACAAAACGGAAGGCCAGTTACTGGGAAGCCTAAAATGGGAGGATGGTTTGAACCTGGGATATCACAGCCAGTGTAGACAACGCAGGGGAACATATGTCAAAAAAGCAAGAAAATAAATAGGACTGGAGATGTGACTCAGTTAGAGAGAACTTGTCGAGCAGTCATAAAGCCTTGGGTTGGGTCTCCAGCACCACAAAAAACTGGGTGTGGTAGCAAGTGGCTATAATCCCAGGTCTCTGAAGGTAGAGGCAAGAGGATCAGAAATCCAAGGTAAGTCTCAGCTACATATTGAGTTCCAGTCCAGCCTGGGATACATGAGACCTTGTCAAAAACGAAAGGAAGTAGAGAAGGAAAGAAATTTTGTTTTGTTTTGTTTTGCTTTGTTCTTCTTGTTTTAGACAGGGTCTCCCTTTGTAGCCCCAGCTGGCTTAGAACTCTCTCTGTAGACCAGGCTGGCCTTGATCTCACAGAGATCTGCTTGCCCCTGCCTCCTGAGTACTGAGTTTAAAGGAGTGTGCCACCATACCCAGGTAAGAAAAAAATTAAAAAACAAACAAAAAGAAAGCAATTTGTACCATGCACTTCAGTGTATAAATGATCATTTTGATTTCATTAGCTGAAAACTGTCACAGTTCTATTTGCTGTTTTTGTTTAAGATTTATTTACTATGTGTATGTGTGTGTGCCTGTCTTAGTTTATGTGCATCACATGTGTGCAGGTGCCCTCAGAGGTCAGAGGGCATCAGATCCCTCTGATGGAACCTGAGTTACAGGCAGTGGTGAGCTGCTTAATGTGGATGCTGGAAACCAAACCAGGTCCTTGGCAAGAGAAGTAAGTACTTCTTGATCACTGAGCCATCTCTCTAGCCCATGTTTGCTGTTTTTTTTTGTTGTTGTTGTTATTTTTATTTTATGTGTATCAGTATTTGCCTGCATGTATGTAAATGTACCACATACATGCAGTGCCTGTGGAAGCCAGATGAGGGCATCAGATCCCCTGGAATTGGGGTTACAGATGGTTCTTAGACGGCATATAGGTGCTTGGAACCAAACTCAGGCCCTCTTCAAGAGCAGCCAATATTCTTAACCACTGGTCCATCTCTCCAGCCTACTCCACCCCCCTTTAAAAAAGTAGTAAGTAAAATACGATTAGTGCTGCCCATATAGGCATGAATGTGAAGTCAACTGGAGTATGACTAGCCTACCATGGACCACACCCTTAAAGAAACTGACTTTCGGGCTGGAGAGATGGCTCAGTGGTTAAGAATGCTGGTTGTTCTTGCAGAAGACCCAGGTTCGAATCCCAGCACCTACATGGCAGCTAACAACTGTCCTAACTCCAGTTCCAGGGGATCTGACGGCCTCTTCTGTCCTCTGTGGGCATTGCATGACACAGGTGCACTTACCTACATGCAGACAATTCATGCATACACATAAAATAAAATAAAAAGGAATAAAAAAAAAAAGAAACTGACTTTCTCTCCCTAGGCCATCAACTGCCAATAGCTCCTCAGCTAGGGGCGGGGGCTTGTGTGCCCCTCTCCCTCCATGCTGCTGCTATTTTGAATCACTGCCACTAGGTCTAGACCAACAAATGGTGCTATTACCTGACTGTCTTTATTATTATTATTATTATTATTATTATTATTATTATTATTTTTTTTTAAACATTTTATTATTTTTATTTTATGGGTACAACATTTTATTATTTTTATTTTATGTGTACAAGTGTATTGCCTGCAAGTATGTGAGCCCACCCATGTTGTGCAATGCCGCGGAGGTCAGAAGAGGGCTTCAGATTCCCCTAGAACTGGAGTTAAGGACTGTTTGTAGCCGCCATGTGGGTGCTGGGAATTGAACCTGGGTCCTCTGCAAGAGCAGTTAGTGCTCTTAACTGCTGAGCCATCTCCCCCCCCCCCTCTTTTTTTGTCTTTTTGAGACAGGGTCTCCCTGTAGCTCCAGCTGGCCTAGAACTCACTATGTAGATCAGGCTGGCCTTGAACTCACAGAGATCTGCCTGCCTCTGCCTCCCGAGTGCTGAGATCAAAGGTGTGCTTCGGCATGCCCAGTTTATCTTGATTTTTTTTTAAACTGTGCATTTTATTTTTATATATACTTTAAAATTTTTATTTCTTTGGTTTTTGTTGTTTAAGACTGGGTCTCACGATATAGCTCTAGCTAGCCTAGAACTTGCTGTGTAGACCAGACTGGCCTTGAACTGGCTGAGATCCACCTGCCTCTGCCTCTCAAGAGCTAGTTAAAGGTGTACACTGAATGGTTTTGGTTTTTTAAAATAATTTTTTATTAACATTTGTGTGTGTGTGTGTGTGTGTGTGTGTGTGTGTATGCCACAACACACGGAGGTCAGAGGACTACCTGTGGGAGTTAATTATCTCCTTCCTCCATGTGGGTCTAAGGGATCAAACTCAGGCTGTCAGACTAGGTTAAGAGCCTTTACCTATTGAGCTATCTCACTAGCTCTGCTTTTGTTTTTGTGAGACAGGGTCTCTTATAACTCAGGCTGACCTTGAACTCATGTTCCTCCTGTCTCTGTCTCCCAGGTGAGCCAGCACATCTAGCTAAAAATGTGTATTTTAATACTTTGCTCTGTACTGAGTTACCAGCCAAGGGCTTTCATTCACCAGTAAGTGTTGAATATTTATGTAACTGGTGTAACTGGAACTATTCTCCAGATATTTGTGTCACCTTCTCAATGAAATAATTTAAAAAGAAAAGATTTCATTTGTTTTAATTTTATGTGTATATGTATTTTGCCTACATGTATGTAAGTGCCCCACGTGCATGCCTGATGCCTGAGGAGGCCAGAAGAGGGCATGGGATCCCCTGGAACTAGAGTTACGGATGGTTGTGAGCTGCCATTTGGGTCCTGGGAACCAGACTTGAGTCCTCTGGAAGAGCAGCAAGTGCTGTTCACTTCAAAGCCTTCTCTCTAGTGCCTCTCAATGAAATCTAATCTAACCATCTAGTAGATACTGCAAGTTCACATTTTCTTGTTGTTCTTTTTGAGACAGGATCTCCCTGTAGCCCCAGCTGGCCTGGAACTCAGTATGTAGACCAGGCTGGCATGGAACTCACAGAGATCCTCCTGCCTCTGCCTCCCAAGTGCTGGAATTAAAGGTATATACTACTATGTCTAGCTCAAGTTCACATTCTTTTTCTCTGTTTTGTTTTTTTCCCCAAAAAACAATTATCATATAAGTTTTTATCATTTTATCCCTAGTGTTTTATCAAGGGATATTATCCCTTGAACAATGTTTGAGTTAGGGTAGGTAGGGGTTTGGTAAAGATGTGAATTAAAAACTGGGTGTTGGGGGCTGGAGAGATGGCTCAGTGGTTAAGAACAGTGTTCCTGCAGAAGATCTGGGTTTGAATCCCAGCACCCACATGGCAGCTAACAACTGTAATTCCATATGCGCGTGTGCACACACACACACACACACACACACACACACAGACACACACACATGCCTTTGTACATAAGAAAAAATACCCACCAAAGCAAACAAAAAATATGTGAATTAGCTGGGTGGTCAAGGACTACAAGGGGCAAGCCTGCCTGTGGAATATTCTGGCTGTGCTGGCTGTGGACTCCAACCCTTGTTTTCCTCCCTCCAGTGCAGTCCTTGGAAGAAGAACTCCTGCTGTTCTACCAACACCAGTCAGGAAGCTCATAAGGATATCTCCTATCTGTACCAATTCAACTGGAACCACTGCGGAGAGATGACACCTGAATGTAAGCGACACTTCATCCAAGATACCTGCCTCTATGAGTGCTCCCCTAACTTGGGACCCTGGATCCAGAAGGTATGAGTATCCTCTGGGTACCCCCGAAACTAGCAGAGCAGCTGGCTTGTCCAGACATCTCTGCAGACTTTGCCTCCAGCTCTAGTTCTGCTCAGGGCTGCTATGCTGAGGTTCCTGAACCTGGAACCTTTTCTACTGTCTCTCAGGTGGACCAGAGCTGGCGCAAAGAACGGATCCTGGATGTGCCAGTGTGCAAAGAGGACTGTGAGCGCTGGTGGGAGGATTGTCGCACCTCTTTCACCTGCAAGAGCAACTGGCACAAAGGTTGGAACTGGACCTCAGGTGAGGACTGGGTGGAAAGGAGGGGGCGTTTAGTGGTGCAGGGGTCGGGACATGCAGCTGTTGTGTAAATGATCTGGGCTTGCAGGGCTGCAACCAGAGATAGTTGTAGGTACCGTGGCTAAAGGTCTTCCATCCTTTCTATAGGGCATAATGAGTGCCCGGTGGGAGCCGCCTGCCACCCCTTCCACTTCTACTTCCCTACACCTGCTGCTCTGTGCCAGGACATCTGGAGTCACTCCTACAAGGTCAGCAACTACAGCCGAGGGAGTGGCCGCTGCATCCAGATGTGGTTTGACCCAGCCCAGGGCAACCCCAATGAGGAGGTGGCAAGGTTCTATGCCGAGACCATGAGTGGAGTGGGGCTCCATGGGGCCTGGCTACTAGTGTGCAGCCTGTCCTTAATGCTGCTCTGGGTGCTCATCTGAGTTCCCTCCCAGCCTCCTTTGTGGTGTGGGGCCTCTAACATCGAGTTGAAATAAACCAGACATTCCACATGTGTCTTATGAATTATTTGGTTGTGAATGGGAAAATGGGAATATAATTATTTTGCTTCCCACTTCACGTTGATTGACACCAGTTAAACTTGGTTAGTTCCCAGCTCTGGCATTTCCTATGAGCTAGTCTACAGACAATTATTCTCCTAACCTGGGCCACATTTGTAGCTTTTCTTTTTTTCCAACATGGGGTCAGCTTTGGTGGAATAATGAAGGTTTCCATTAGCTCTGTTTTTTGTTTTTTTTTGAAAATCCTAATGAGTTTATTGGGCTTGCTAACAGAGCATAAGGTGGGGGTTTATTTACAGAAGAGTGGGAGCACTTCCCACATTTGTAGGTTTTCAATTTAATTTTTCATTAACCCTCTAATTCAGAGCTAAGCCTAGGATTTTTTTTTTTTTTTTTTGGTCTCCCTGTAGCCTCAGCTGGCCTGGAACTTGCTATGTAGACCAGGCTCACAGAGATCTGCCTGTCTTTGCCTCCCAAGTAAGTCTAGGATTTAAAAAAAATATTTTATTTATTTTTTGCATATGAGTGTATTGCCTGCATGTGTGTAAGTGCACCCATGTTGTGCAATGCTCATGGAGGTCAGAAGAAGGTGTCAGATTCCCTGGAACTGGAGCTATAGGCAGTTGTTAACCACCACGTGGGTGCTGGGAATTGAACCTGGGTCCTCTGCAAGAGCTGTCAGTGCTCTTAACAGCTGAGCCATCTCTCTAGCCCCATAGCCTAGTATTCTAACATTTATTATTATTATTATTATTGGTCTTTTTGAGACAGGGTCTCCCTGTAGCCCCAGCTGGCCTGGAACTCACTATGTAGACCAGGCTGGCCTTGAACTCACAGAGATCCGCCTGCCTCTGCCTCCTGAGTGCTGGGATCAAAGGTGTGCACCACCATGCCCAGCCTAAATATTCTTTTTAAATATTTTATTTTTATCTTATGTGTATGAATTTATTGCCTGCATGTGTGTAAGTGTACCCATGTTGTTCAATGCCCTTGGAGGTCAAAATAAGGTGTCAGATTCCTTGGAACTGGAGTTACGGGTGGTTGTTAGCCCTCATGTGGGTGCTAGGACTTGAACCTGGGTCCTTCGCAACAGCAGTCAGTGCTCTTAGCCTCTGAGTCATCTCTCTAGCCCAATCAGGAGACTTTTCAAGAGTTGTTTCTCTCCTTTCACTGTGGGTTCCAGAGATCAAATTCAGGTCACTAGGTTTGCACAGTGAGTGCTTTTACCTGCTGAGTCATCTCATCAGCCCCCCAACTTCTAAGTTCTTTATTTTTATTCCAATAAGTTTTCAGTGTCTTATGTCTACTTATATATGTGTGGAAACAAACATAAATTAAGGAACATGGCAAAGCCGCCCCTACCAAAGAGCTGGATTTCCATCCCAGGCCATCAGAATCTTCAGATCAAGCCCTTTCCACCCAAGAAGTGAATAAATACATGTGTCTCGAAGGACTAAGGGGCCCATGTCTGTCCAGAAGAGCTGGGCCTGAGGGGATCTGATAGAGGTAAGTCTGGACCCAGACTTGGATTTTTATGTTCCCATATTAAGTAAAGTATGTAACATTTGTATCATATCAGGCTACATTACAGTAACATTTCTTTGTGTGTCTTTGGGAGGTATATTTACCTCTTTATGTGGGTACATGTGTGCAAAGGCAAGAAGTCAATGTCAGGTGTCTTCCTTAATCACCCTCCATCTTAGTTTTTGAAACAGGGTCTGTCACTGAATCTGGAACTCACCAAGGTGTTTAGACTGGTGGGGCCAATGAGCCTTGGTTCCACCTGTTTCACCGCCCTAGTGCTAGGATTGTAGATGTTCGCTCCAAGCCCAGATTGTTACATGGGTGCTGGGAATCTGAACTAAGGTCCTCATGCTTGCACAGCAAGCACTTTACCAACTGAGCCATCTCTCCAGCATTGCAGTAATATTATTTTTAAAAGATTTACATTATTTATTTTTTGGTTGGAGGTGGGGCAAAGTCTCACCCTGTAGGCCTGGTTGGCCTGGAACTCTCTTTGTAGACGAGGCTGGCCCCAAACTCATAGAGATCCACCTGTCTCTGCCTCTTGAGTGTTGGGATTAAGGGTATGTGCCACAATGCCAGGGTCATTTTTTAAAATTTTATTTATGTTATGTATGTGTCTTTGTGTTTGTATGCACATGTGCATGCCAGTGCCCCTTGGAAGCCAGAAGAGGGCATTAGATCCCCTGGAACTAGAGTTGTAGGCAGTTGTGAGCTCCTGATGTGGGTTAGGAAAATCAGCAAACACTCCTAACTGCTGAGCTGTTTCTCTAGCTCCTACAGTAACATTTCTTTTAAAACTTTTGTTTTCAATTTTATTTTTATTTTTTGAGTGTTTTGCCTGCGTGTATGTAAGTGCATCCATGCATGCAATGCCTGTGGAGGCCAGAAGAGAGCATCAGATCCCTGGAACTGGAGTAATGGAGGGTTGCTAGCTGCCATGTGGATGTTGAGGACTTAATCTGGGTCCTCTGCAAGTACAGCCAGTGCTCTTAATCCCTGAGTCATCTCTCTAGTCCCAGACAAGTGCCGTTTCTAATAATCTAGTAACTTAGTACAACTAACATTTATTTCCAAGCTATTATGTTTAATGTGGGTTGTTAGGGGGATTCTGCTTCTTATTCAGGATTTCAGGGTGATAGAGAAGGTTCTATCAGAAAAAAAGAAAAAGAAAAAAAAAGATGTTTTTGTATTTTTGAGATAAGGTTTCACTATATAACCTTGGCTTGGGATTCATGGAGATCCACCTGCCTCTGCCTCCAGGGTGCTGAGATTCACTGTGTACACTGCCACAGCTAGCTGAGAAGGTTCTATCTTTTCATACACTGCAGGAGGCAGGACAGGAGTATTTGAATTCCATACAAGCCCTTCACGTTTTCATCCAATATTTCATTGGCCAAATGAGGTCACAACCATGCTTAAATCAAGGAATCCAGGAAAACATAATCCTATCATGTGCCCAGAGGGAGTAGAATCACAAGATCTGTCCAGCAATTTGTGGCTCCTACAAAGATCTTGTTATCTTATATATCTAAAATACCAGTTTATATTTCTGGCTGTGTATGTTAGCCCTTTTGTCACTAGGACCAAATACCTGAGGAAAATAGCTTATAGGAGGATTTCTTTGGTTCACAGATTCAGAGATTTCAGACCATGGACTACTGGCTCCACTATTTCTAAACCTGTGTTGAGTCAGAGCAGGAAGCAGTGGGTGTAGAAGGCATTGGGAACAGGAGGCAGAGAGACTGCTCACCACCAGTCATGGTGTCCAGGAAGTACACTGAGAGCAAGGAACTAGATGTCTCTCCTCAACCTTGTTCCAACACCTACTCTATTCTCTGACACCTCCCCATAATGACATCAGATTATTTGTCCTGTTGTTTATTTTGAGACAGGCCTCACTCTATACCTCATCTGCTCTCAATTACCTGTGTGAGCTACCATGTCCAGTTTACCATCAAATTATGAGTCCATCAGTGGATGAATTTACTGATTAAGTCAGAGGCCTCACAGCACTAATGGAAGTCCAAGCTTTCAGCACATAAACCTTTTGAGGGGATATTTTGATTATAACACATAGTTACTAATTTAACTTTTCAGTGAGATCCTTGTAAGGAAGACTAGCTTTGTCAACCTATGGAAATGACTATAGCAACATAAAAATTGGAACAATCTACTAGCTACCACCTTACTCTTGTAACAACAAGGCTAATGGATGGTACTTGGGAGGCAGAGGTAGGTGGATCTCCATGAGTTTGAGGCCAGCCTGGTTTACATAGTGAGACCCTGTCAAAAACCAAACCAAAACAAAACAAAATGAAAGAAACCAAACCAAAGCAAAGCAAAGCAAAACAAAACAAATTAAACTGGGAGTGGTGGTGCACGTCTTTAATCTCAGCGTTTGGGAGGGAGAGGCTGGTGGAGCTCTATGAGATTAAGTCCAACCTGGTCTACATAGTGAGTTCAAGGCCAGCTGCGTCTTCAGGGAGACCCTGTCTCAAAAGACAAACAAAATCCAGAAAAAAAACCCAAAACAAAAAAATACTAATGGATATATCATAATCTCTGCAGAACCAATTACACCATTAATAATTAGGACATTTACTAGGCTGTTGAGATGGCTCAATGGATAATAGTGCTTGCCAATACCTGATGACCTGAGATCCTTGGGACCCATATGATGAAAAGAGAACAACTCCAACAAAGAGTCTTCTGACCTCCATGGATGCATACACATGTGCACATGCATGCACCACACGCACACACACATACATACACACACACTAAATGTAAAAAAATTTTTTAAATAGACATTTACAGATATATTAGAACTACTGAAATTTAAATGATTTTGTGTGTATGAGTATTTTGCCTATATGTATGCACATGCACCCATGTTGTGCAGTGCCTGCAGAGGTCAGAAGAGGGTATCAGATCTCTTGGAACTGGAGTTATGAATGGTTGTTAGCTGCCATATGGGTTCTGGGAGCTGAAACCAGGTGCTCTGTAAGAGCAGCCAGTGCTCTTAACCACTGAGCCATCTCTAGCCCTAGAACTGCTGAAATTTAAGATAAAAACATTTTACTCTTCTAAGCCAGTTATTAGCCAGGCTTGGTGGCACACTCTTGTAGTCCTAGAACTCAGGAGGATTGTTGTGAGTTTGAGGCAGCCTGGTCTACATAGCAAATTCCAACTAGAGCTAAAAAAAAAAAAAAATGATTAGTTGTGGTGGTATACAACTCTACGACAACTCCAGTCGTGGGACCAGAAAGGCTGAGGTAGGAGTACAGCGAGTTTGAGGTTAGATTTAGTTCCAGGCCAGCCTGGACTAAATAGTGAGGAGTTGTCTCGAAAAGTGAGAGAGAGAGAGCAAGAGACAGAGACAGAGAGAGACAGAGAGACAGAGACAGAGACAGAGAGAAAAACAAGGGGGCAATTAGTCAAGGAGGAAATCTGTTCTTGGAGCAGG